GAATCAACTCTCACCATCAAGTCTACCAATATGGCAATGATAGGCGACCAACGCAAAACTTATTCAAGGAGGGAAAGTCGGAGAGAAGCGCTTCGGCAAGTTCGATATATAAAAGCGAAGCAAAAGTGATGATAGAATGGTAGCAGCGGCAGAGGCCAAAAAACTGTCCTTTGGTAACACCTGCTTCCGGAAGAAAGTGGGACGGAGATGGACATGGATCACACCAAACGCAGCTGCGAAAAATGAAATCGACTATATTATAGTCGATAAACACGCATTTAGAAGGACGTCTCCGTAGTACCCTTGTTGAACACAGGAAGCGATCACCGTATGTTTCGGGCAAGAATACACATAATTCCGGCTGTCGAACGAAGGGCACTGTACGAGTCGCATCAAGGTACAGGATCCACGGAGATGGATGAACCGGAGATGGAACGGCAAGTTGAAACTACCGACTTGCTATAACGGCGAGCATTGAACAAGATTACCAAAATTTCACTGAGAAGCTTCTTCCGTGCTCAAAAAAAGCCGAACATGCTCAGCCTCGACTACCAGATTCGAGAGTCTTAGAGATGACAAAAGAACTGCTAGAGAAGAGAAGAATCATGAAGCGGGATGAAATCAGCAGTGCAGAGACAATCTTAGGATAATTTGTAAGAAGCTGAAGGAAGACCTCGAAAACTACAGTCGTCAAAGGGGAATAACAGCGGTTAAAAAAAAACAAAGCCTGAAAAAATGCAGAAGGGAAATGCTGTTGTATCATCAAACAGCAGCGAGGCTAAAAAGTGAGGACGGACGTCGAATCTCAAACTGAACAGTTATGGAAGACTGTGTACAAAATTCTACACGAAACTGCGTCATGTGTCGACGTGCAAACACCCGCAATTCGAACCGCCAAGAAACAAATTCTCCATGTGCTGATGTGTTAAGTAAGAAACGCAAGCTTCCAGATTAAAGTGGAAAAGCTCCCGGTAAGGACGGTATTAGCACTGAGTTCATGAAAGCCGGTGGGCACGCATTCTGGCACGCACTCGCGGCTAGATTCAGTCGCTACCTGACTGAGAAGGCCATCTCTAGCAGCTGGAAAGAATCGAGGACCGTTCTGCTCCATAAAAAGAGCGATAAAGAAGACCTAAAGAATTATAGCCCGATCTGCTTGCTCTCCCACGTATACAAGTTGCTTAAGAGAATCTACTAAGATGGCACCTGTACGCAGAAGAAATAGTGGGAAGAAACTGGATACAACCTGCTAAAGACAAAATGGCCTGGCATGATTTTGCTCGGTGTGGAAACTGGAAAAATCCATACTGAAGCGCGAACAATCTTGGAATAAAATTGCAATAATCTGTTATTTAAAGGTTCAAGTTTAATTCTTTATATCTACGAGAATCAGCTGCTATGGTGTTTCTGCCACTATCCTTAGCGTGTGCAGCCATTTGTGTTATCAGCACAAATTACTGAAGAAAATGTCGTTCAAAGAATACGTCGACCGGAGATTAGTATAAACTTTCCCTTTTCCTAGAAAAAGTAATCAACTTTTATCGTTTGGCTATGTACTATGAGAAACCTATAAGCAACTGACCAGTATTATAATTCATATTGTACCCAAACTACACTGGCACAGGCCTACAAGCAAGTCAGAAAATTAAGTTTGAAAAAAGTATCAGAAGAAATGACAGCAAAAGAAATGAGTAGCCCTTAACAACAAATTCAAATCTTCAGGCCCTGGATAAAACGTGGTTGGCGATATTTACATTACACAGGAAAGAAAGCATAGGCAAATGGCGACAAGACAGCGGGAATGTCGTAGCTCTCTCTGACAACAAATCCCGACTCCTTTTCTCTCACTGGGTTATATTTTCGCTTCCATATGTAGCATAACAATAGACCGAATTTGAAAAACCGATATGGTTCAACAACGTCGAATTACCAAGGCTACTTGCACGTCGGAATCTGCCATCAGTCTACCTCTATTTTTAAATCCTTCAACGCTAACCCTTCAAAGCTCTGCCAAACAGAAAGAATGTGGACGTACTAATTTACCAACAGGACCGGACCAGACTGATTAGAAGTCCTGTATTGAGATTACTGCTTAATGTCTGATCGATCAGCCGACAAATTCAATAACTTCTGGTCCCAAATCATCTGTAAAAATGGTGTGTTTATGAATAAATAATGCGTAAAAAACTTAGTAATGTAAAGCTTCGAAAATGTGACCACAGAAAAGTACATATGGAGTTATGCTAAAGTACTGTGAGACTGATAAATTTTAAAGAGCCTTCACAGATTAATGGCTGATTCAACACAATACACACGGTAAAATAAAACAAATTTTATTAAACTTCATTGAAATAGTGGTTATTTAAAGACATAAAAATGTATCACTCAAACGATTGTCAAATGTATAATCATACGTTTCAACAGGAACATTAAAAAACACATGAAAGATAAAAACATTAAAGAAAATCTGAAAGTCAACAAATATTCATCTACGAAAGGGAGACCGGAAGAATGTTTTTCCTCGTTTCACAGTCTAAAAAACATTCAAATTTCAAATGGAGAAAGCAAAAAAAGCAAAATATTCATAAATCAGTTCATTATAGTAAATCATAATGCTACTGCAAGAAGAAAATCACTTCTGGAAATTATGATCTCTTTATTCATGCTGTCTACCGTTTATACGTTAAAATGATTTTTAGCTATCGATCAGGTGAGTCAAGGTGAATTATAGGGGTAAGGCGTACGCATAAAAGAGCCTAACGGTTTCTCAGTTGGTTACATCAAAGTGCAGTGGCGTGAATTTTTCCTTAATCAGCAAATAATTGCAGAATCTTCTACCTTAAGAATTAGGGTAGAGATTAGAAGCAGGTACTTTCAGCGTCAAAAGTAGTGAAGTAATAATTAGTTGCTTGCCTGTTTTTTGTTGTTAATTGACAATCTTGCAACGTAAAAGAGGGTGAAGATCTTTGGTAGCATAGTAGGCAGAGCAACAATCCTTTGTCGAACTCAACGGCACGGATTCTTAATCCGTAAATGTATTTTAAAATAGGCAAAATGCGTAAAGTTATTAGTCATAACAGTCGCGAAGGAATTTATATCGTTAGCGACAACGACAAACGTTTATTAAGCGTTTTGCGACAGACAGCAGCTTAATTATCGATGAGACTCAAATTCGGATTACCGGTCAGAAGTAATTCACCAAACCACGTGGATGTCCGTGATTGAAGCCTAAAGTCCCAAATTCATCACATCTTCATTATTAGTAAACTCTGCTGCTCGTTACTCGAGACTCACGTCACAGTTGGCTCCTGCGCCGGATACAATCGTCACGTGACAAAGGCAGATTTCGCCAAAAATTTGTTGTTATATAAACCACGCTTGGTTGAAACACACAAGTTTTCATTGAAGTTATCAGGTTAAGATATGAACCGACGAGGTCAGCCACGAAACGAAAGTAACGAGCCAGTATAACGTGAGTGCTCAGTGTCCACTTTAAACTGATAAATTCCATAAAATTTACAGAAACTTTAAGGTGTCATTCCTACGGTCAGAAATGTAGTTGATACATAAGATGATGGAAAAGATAGTAAAACTGCTACGGGTTACAGCAAACAGTTCAGTTTTTACAGAATAAAGACGCCTGGCTAAAAGAAATACTTGCAACATCAACTACGCCCTCAAAGACAATCCTTCATCGTTCATACAGTTAATAAGAATTAAAAGCTGAACGGGGAACTTAGGTTGCACAGGCAAATCAGGAAAATCAGCAAAACTGAAGGGTGGCTGAAAAACACTATTCGAATGAGTTCGGCAGCTGTCCGGTATGAAACGGACTTAATCTGTCTTGATCTAAGACGCTAAGAGCGTCTGACTGGCTGATCTGAAAGCACGCCACGGATCAGCGGATGATTTCTAGCAGCTGCTCAACATTACCCTCAACATTCAATCTTCTGACCGCCAACTTTATGCTAACGTTAAAGGCTAGCATAGATGCATCTCCAAAGCCAAAATTCAAAAGTCTTGCTACATCTGAGGAAGAGAAAGGTGTGGATCAAATCTTACCCTGAAAGTGGCGGAAGTAGAATGGCCAAAAAGCGCCATTACTCATTTCATCAAATTTGGACTTAAAGTGTAGAATAGAAGCGGGGAGCAGCTGTGTTTACACTAAAATGAAACGACTGAACGAATGCCACAACAATCATTACGTCATTCTATTATTATTTCTGAGGAAAATTATTCGCCTAAATTATCCTAAACAGACTGAGAGACAGATGATAAAGGATTTCGTCCAAATCAAGTAGTCTTTCGTATTAAGTATTCCTTTCGTAAAAACTTTTTACCGCTTTTAGGATCACTAAACAACGCTGACTATTCTACTTGCCTTCGTTTCCAAATTACCTTGACCTTAAGGCCGCGTTTAATAAAACATATCGCCCAATGACATGGAGAATCTTGAAATATTGTGTGACACTTGAGCAAATCGCCTCCATTCTGGAGAAAATGCCTATGTTAAAGACAAAAATTACCTATCCGAATGGTTCTTCATTAAAAATTCACCTAAGAGACGTGCTTTCGCTTTTGCTATTGTTCTCGACTTTCTTCTACGACAGAGAGATTACCCTTTGCAAAGACGAAGGTCTGATTTCACAGGAAAGGCGAAATATTCTGCTAATTTGGAGTACGTAAACGATATTGTCTTGGCGAGTTACTAATAAAGTCACAGACTTCATAAGTTAATGATTTCTATATGCAAACGTGCAAACGTAGTTATCTCTACCGCTATGTCCGGAGGAATAAAGGTATGACGAACCCAGCCGATAGCTGAATTTCTAGCAGAACAGATGAACGGAAAAGTAGGACGATAAAGTCAAGCACCTTGTTATAATCATCTGCAGCGAAGGCCCATTAAATCAAAGTTTAATAAGATGATCGTCCTCGCTTCTAATGCGTTTGCTAGCCGGTCCAATATTTTGGCTGAGACAGGAATAATCATTTCCGTAAAAATTCGTCGGAAACCTTGCACCGGTCAGGTCAGTGATGCTGTATGCATGGATACAGTTGTTCCAGTGAAGAACAATCGTTCAACTGCGCACAATAGCGTTGGTTTTGATGCATATTGAGGGTGAAATATAAGGACCACGAAAGAAAGGATTATACCCTAGTTTGGGTACAGGTGTCCTCCTTAGATATGAAGAGTAAGGAAATAAGGTTGCTTTTGTAAGACAAAGTGGTTGAACTCAACACTTTCAATCTAGATAACGAACTGCTCATTTGGAAGCGAAACAGGACAGACATCGTACAAGAGGCTAGCAGTTAACATGGACGAATAAGGTACAAGAGAAAATTAATCATCTTTTTAAGATGCAGTAAGAGACACCTTATAGAAACAGCGTTCTAAAGTTGTAAGTACAGTAGACATCACAAACCAGAGATAATCTGCATATTTAAATGGCGAAAAATGCTCATGGCAACACATATCAAAGAATTGCAGAACATAGTCCCTGATTCATGTTTTGAGATAATATCAATATCAGCAGAGAATAAACATGTGAGGACGCAACACAGATCATCATTAAGAATTTCAGACATCAATATCCGTAAACTCTTCGCTGCAAACCATGCTCATGCTTAAGACAATTAAACTGATGTCTCTAAAATAACGTTTTAAGTAATTATAACTTGCCAGATGCTCCTCTGTAGCTTAATAGAAGAAACCTCGATTACCTCGAACAAATGGGAAACGTCTCCAGTCATTCGGTCAAACGCCTCCAAAACTTGTAATGCCTTTTCGTCCGACGATTTTTTCTTTGACAAAAAAGAATGCATTTGTTCGGTTAGCTGGCCATCACTCAGACAGCACAGCATAATGTCATAGCACATGTTCATCTTAAATGTAATGAAATTAACTGAATAACTTGACACAATCTTTGCCACATGTATAGCATCACTCATGCATGCAATACCCCTTAAACTACGTAACATGAAAAAAAGCCCATCAAAATAAACAGAGATGAACGTAAATGTTAGGTAAGTCAGAAAAAGATGATCTAGCAAACATTGTGCGTTTCCCCCGCACACTTATATGTGACCCGCTATATCCGCTCAGCGTGTGGTGACGCAAGTAACGGCATAATTAATAAACTAAATCACGGTATCACATGGTCAACCGGTCGACGGATCGGGAAGAGGGAAGTTAGCATATAGCATTTATGCTATATGAGAACCTTACTAACGATGAAACGCCTCAGGCTATACCTCAATGTCATACACTTGTCTGGGTATCACGTTGGTATTAGAGAAACTGCTGGTCTGCGGTAACTGTTCATCCTTTTGCTTTAATTCTTCGTTTTCTGCCCTCAGATCTGAGAGGTTTGTTTTCGCCTCAATTACCTAAAATAAAATTGGATTAAACTGCATGCGTAAAAGTTGGTTAATATGTTAAAGTTATTCATGCTCTGAACAAAGATGTTAAAAAGAAACGTTATTCAGTTATTTATTAACTAACGACATGCTCTGACGCTTCAGCATCATCTTCCATGAGCAGACTTGGGACATTTTTATGCAGTCGCTTTAGAGGCTTAAATCGTGTATAGTTTTTCATCTGCGTGCACTTGTGACTCCTTTAAAGTCCGGATTTCGGTTTCGAAAGAGCGGAATATTTGAGTCTGCTGGGGTTAATTACTGTAAAAAACCAGTGACTGGTTGATATCAGAACGATGACATTGCCACATTCAACAGTTTTTAGTCCTCACCAAGTAACATACACAGTCAAGATACAATTACGCGGCTCAGAATTATTAATATCATCCTTAATGCTGCTAAAGATTGATCACCATGTCGAGTCGATTTATGGCATGAAAAACAAAGGCTTCCACGATGAAAAACGTAACAGTAACCTGTTGGTTTATATAAAAACAACCTGTTTTCTTACGCGGGAACCCTTCCTTGGACGAATGTGAGATGATACTTATCTAAGAGCATTATGATCGACAAAAATGAGGCTGAAGAGTTCTCAATCAATCGTACAGAAACGCTGCGAATCCTCACTTTAATACTTTGTACTTACTTTGTATTTTCGAATGAAACTTGTTTCAACTGTTACCCTGCCGGTAGTTTAAATCCAGAATTGATGACACTCCAAGCCGAAAACTACATGGCTACTATCCGGTATTCCAACTATGCAGCTGCAAAAAATGAACAACGAAACTATCGACCCACCAAGATATACCTAAGTATGATAATAAACATGCCTAGAGTCACTGTTAGCTATTTCTTGTAGCATATTTATGTTTACCATCTTTACTTACCATGGCGAATAGCTCCATTAAAAGGTACCTTGCCGATGCCAGATCTGCAGCAGCGAAACGGTCGCTTTCATGTGACTCACACTCGAAAGCTGACGCCTTCATCCGCAGCTCCCGAATTTCGTTGTTCCTAAGTAAAAATAATGATAAGTAAGAACTACATTTGCCAGTATCAACATTTGCTAAACCTAATGTCGATTTCATGCTTCAATAGCATGAGGGAATTTTCAACATCAGCTCTCAAATCATCCTTGTTACGCTGCTCATTTGAATTTCCACCCTCCTTTGCGACCTTCTGAAACAATTCCTTGATGAGTCATGAAAGAGGGGAAGAACATATAAACTATTTACTTTGTATGGAGGACTACCACCTCCTTCGCTTCCATTGAGCAAGTCATTGTACTGCAATTTCAGGCTCGTACATTCCTGCGCCAATTCCTTTCGCTGCTCTATTAACCGATCGCAGTGCCTTTTAGCTTCTTCCGCGTCGAAAGCCATCTCGATTTCAGTCTTCAGAAATTCCTAAGGCATGAAATATTCGAAATCAATTCAATTTATTCGTTGACGCCACAATCGATACTGAAAAAGGCACAATCTGACTAGTACCTCCAAAAGTATTCATGTAAGTGAGTGGAATTATGGTTAAGTAGAAGGTCAGAACCATTAGCAGACTCACCATAGTAATGACACTGACATCAGAATTAGGAAGAAGCAAAAAGATATAAACATAATAATACCACGTATAGATCATTTTAACATTAGAGTCAGCTGACCATTCAGTGACGTAGGCCATTAATTTATTATGACTATCATGCGTAATCCAGGTCTCGGTTGTTGACCTTTCGACCCTTGAATTTTACACTCAAGATGGCTTACGACGTACACTCAATTCACATTAGGGTCGTTTGCCTATCTCAAACAGATAGCGATAGGATAATAAAAGGCGACTATTCCACTTTTGATTTGAAGTGATTATTGCAAGCTTGTGAGCTAGACAGTTTACCAATATGCAAAATCGAAAAGGAATGTGACTTTTGCCGTAGAAATAAATGTTAGCTACTATCAATCTGAAATACCGTTTCTAACAGTCTTGATTACTCTGTTATTTAAGCTCTGCTAGCTTCAATGACGACGACAAAATAACAGTCCTAAAATAAGCTTATGTCTTTATATCAAATCTTATCTGCAAAAAACATGAATACAATAGATGAATGAATGAACATGAATGCAATACTAATACAGAATTTGAAAAAAATTCAGATAGTTAACGTTACGCATGCTCAAACGTTGACGACGCGCAGATTTTAAGATGAATGGATCCAATTTTAATTTCGCGTTTTCCCCTGAACAAAAGATGGCGTTGATTGGAAACGTCGGCAACAAATCAACAACGAGTTTCTCACGAACTGGTAAATCTGAATAAACTTGAAGCAAACCTCTAAAGCGCGATAATCGAGTTTATTCTGAGAGTCTGATGTGAGTTTCCTTGTTTTCGGCATGCATTTAAGCGAACTTTGCAGCCGTTTGTTAAATGCAATAGCCTAAAAATTAACACAGCATATTTTATATTTTCCTGTTAAACAAAATTCAAAACCTGCTCCAGCTTTCTACGATAAATGCTGATCTTCTGCTCCAACGACTGCTTCAACTTCGCTGTTTCAAAATCACGTTTGCGATTCTGAAAACGAAATATCTGATGCTCAAAATTTACAGACTGTATGTCAAGACTGACATACATAACAAAACAGTCACCACATGAGCATGTGTGCTAAAGTTTACGCAAGGCGTCTAATTTACTTTATATGCTTTTACTCCTGCGTTCGATTTGTAAAAGGAAAGGAAAAGGAAATAAAGTATATAACCGTTGGAATGTCGGTCTTCTTTACACTTTTGCCATGGGTTTACTTCTAGCTCCCTTTATGAAATTAGCTTCTAGCTCCCTTTTATGAAATTAATGATGGGATGTTGATTTGCCTTTCAGTGCCATCAACCAGGCGTGCCTTATTTTTTAAAAGGCAGAGTCGACAACAGCCATGTGAGAAGATTAATGGATAATATCCTATTTCCTCCCCACAGAGTGGTAGCCATTTATGAACCTCAGCGGAAGAAAGGTAATTGAATCACTCGTGGCTCGAGCCCGGGACTTCTCCATTCTGTATCAGATGCTCCACCGACTAAGCAACGCCGGTCGATAAGTGGAAAGTGCGGAGTGGAAAAAATTGGGCCTTGCACGATGAAGATAAAAATTAGAATAGAAACGGAGAGAAAACGTTTCTCATTCACAGACAATTCCATTGGCAGGAAATCGCCTCTCTACAACGTCATACAAACAGCTGAGAAACAGCTAGCAAATCGATGACCCGTGAAAATTCATTAAACGTCGTATATTTTAATGCAGTCATTCCCCGACTTACAAATTTATAGACATCTGCTACCATGCGCATGACTCAACTGCCAATTGATTGCATATTTAGCGTAAGGTGAAACTCGTACACACAGACAAGAATTTCTGTAACATATGTGCTCTATTCAGAATTAAGCAGCTACTTTTCTAGTTTGGACCATCCATGTAAACTAAATCCTATCAAAGATATACATAGATTCTACTGACTTTCTCAGCGACCTCTCTCAGGTACTATGACTTTGCCTTTAATTTCCTTAAATTTTCCTACACTATCTATATCCATTCATTTAAAGTCATTATTTTTTTCGAGACTTTCTAATGACCTTGGTCGGTGGCAAAAGGGATAACTTCTGCAATCCGGATTGCAATGGTCGGTCTTCTACATAATCGAACCATTTTGACTGCAGTCTGCCTATGGGTAGTTTTCTCCGTGCATTTTCCAAGTGGCTCCGCCTGGAGAGTCTCGCTTCTGGCATCATCAAATGATCAAGCAAACGCAGTGTAATCTTACTACCTACAGGAGCGGCTGACAACCTCACGCATCACACTGCAGTGCTGGCTTTTGCCGAGTCTTTCCACGCTAGTGATCTTTGAACCTCATCTCTGCCGCTCGTATCCATTGTCGCTCTCCTCTGGTCAGCAGTCAATACTCATGACCATAGATAAGGGTAGGCTCCTATATAAATATCTGAACACACTGCAGCTTCATGCAACAGCTCAGCTCGTATCATCACAGACAGAACTGCTGGTTTAGCTTAAATGTAAGTGCGTGCCAGTCTGATCTGAATGTTAATTTCGACGCCCTATCATCACTCATAATGCTTCAGCGAGATATTAGAACTTCTTTACCTGCCTCCAATGCATTCCGGTTACTCGCAGAGAACAGCGAAGTGCTTGTCTCGGTTTTGATCAGGCTGATTTTGACACCAGCCTCATCATAAGCAGTGGCGAAGTGATGAAGGGCAAACTTAAAATCATCGTACTACGATGCGACAATGACGAGATTATCCGAAAACCATAGTGAACTCATTAAGAATCTTCAAATGTGACGATCTTAGCGTCTAGGCCGCATCCGCTGATTCAATCAACAGAGAGACAGACACAATAAATATCATAGCGGAGAGTAACGCGCACCATAAACGGCATTATTGTTCTCCCATTAATTCAGACTTAAACATCTAAGCAGTCACATAAGGATGTGACTATTTTCAGTGGCTAGCAATCTACCAAATATTTTTGCGGTACTGTATGCAGTTTCGATCAGAGCATTGCGTCACAAGCTTGTCCACGTCTATGAAGCAGACATAAACCACATTTTCATATTGTATATCGCTTGCTTCACATCTTTAGGCCTAATGGATATTTTTAGATGAAAGCAGTAAACTAACACACCTACAATAAAAATTAAGAAATTAAGCTTTATCCTAATAAAACATGCCTGCTGAATTAACGCATTCATTTGCCTATCTGCAGCCAATTTTCTCTTTCGATATTTTTCGCTTTCTTCTCGCATTTGATTCATCAGCTTCACTTTGATTTGTTTCAAACTCTATAAATAAAAAAGTGGCAGCTAAAACTGTTCATTAAAAACAGAATTCTATTAAAACGCGGTTCAACAGCTTACCATCACTTCTGACTTGAGCATTTTGATGTTCATTTCGCTTTGAGCCTGGAGTCGTTGCAATTTTTTAATTTCACCTGTTTGATTACGCAACCCCACGATTTCCTTCTCCAGCTCTTGAACCCGTTTGCGATGCCTTTGATTTACCCTGTAAATAAACTCATTTTTGCAACAACTGTTAAAGAATTTGGGAACTGTTAACTGAACTGCATATAAATGCAAAATGGGGGCATTCACAGGAGGTGGAATCTGTTTATTTCATAATTTCCTTCATTAATCACCAAGGAGGATGAATTCACTCAACACAATAAACGATAAAACGCCTAAAAATAACATATTATGATTGTCACGCATTGTTCTATAGTTGGAGTATCTTCGACCTAAGCTCAGATGTTGACACAGGATCAGAAACGTTGCAGATGCTGTCTAACGCGTCTGCATTTGCCGCCAGAATGGGTAAGCTGTCCTCGAAACTGTATGATTGATTAATTGCCACCTGATGGATGATTACCGTACAGGGAATTTAAAAACTTCAAAATTAACAAATATCTTCCTACCGCAATTTCTCTGGATTTACACGACGCAGTCGTTTCGTTTCTTTGTTCCTAATCGCACAGAGAACCGTTTAAATAGGCCATGGAATTATAGTCACTGCAATGCATTGACATGAAAACCTGTTTGTACACCTGCCAAAATGCCACTATTCGTAGGCAGAAATCATTCGGGTATCACAGGTTTATTAGCAAGGTGCTAGTTTTTAATACCGCTAGTAAAAATAACAATATCCTGTCAGTTCTTCGGATAAGACAGAGTAATCTCACCGTCTCATCGTATCTTGGTGCCAAGACTAAAGTTTAAGCAGACCACAGATCCGCTAAGTTCCAGCAAAGGGCGGTATGAACACACCTTGTGAATTTGTAGGTGACATGATATTATTATTCTTACCTATGGTTTCAAATACTAGAACTCTGCCAGAAACTTTATTGTGTGGGGATGATTATCATGAAATAAATATACAATTTTCATGCATATTACTAATTATTGCCATGTGATCGGTTCTGAGCATCAGATTTGAATTAGTAAATACAAGTAATACAAGTTCGAAAGCCAATCTGTATACTATAATTATCCAACAATTGACAATGAAGTCGTAAGTGAGTAAAGTGGAGAAAGACCCCTCCAAACATCAAAGAATGTGGAGGAAATTGACGTTTCACAGATAATCGTTAAAGGGAATAAACTAAGAGAAGTGGAAATGATTATCAGGCCAATCACACTGCTGCAACTCGGCGACTGCTCGAATAGCTTAGTCGTGATTCGCAAACGAAGAAGAAAAACCGTTTCAGAATATCTGACAGTAAGAGACGACGAAAGCTATCCAAAGCTGCACGGAGATCTCTTGTTGGTCATTTCTGATATTTCGCTTCACGCTTCAGGCGAATAAATGAGCCAGAGCAAGACCGTTTCTTCTTGCGTCCCAAATTGTTAGCGTTTCATTACTTTGCCAAGGCGTTTTCTCCTTGATTTCACTTTTGTTTTTTCTTTTCTTCTGGTTTCCTTTCTTTCGTTGCTTCCCTTTTTCTTGTTATCGTTGATTTTATTTCCTTCATCTTCTTGTTTTCTGCTTCCGTCTTTTCATTTCTTCTGCAATAAGTCAGTCAGTTACGATAATTTCATGTCACGAGTGCTTCCAACTTTTCCGATTCTGTGCCGACCTTTGGGCTTCAGCAAAAGATAACCCGACTCTGGAGCAGACTGCTTCAATACTCTTGCCCCAGGATACTCCTGGTCGTCCGTCCCCAAGGTCTCAGGCAGAACGCTTGTAAGCAGTAGCTCTTTCGCCTGTACTTCTGAAAGCATTCGCAAGACGTGACCAAACCATCGCAACTGTGACTTTTCAATTTAGACAAACACCGGCTGTACACCAAGACTCTACTAGACATATGTACTGATCAGTCGAAACGCCTTCGCCCAACGAATGATCTCAAAAAACGAAAGAAACACGAAAGTATGCATCCGTATGAAGATCAACTTGAACA